TCGGAGAGACTTTGATGCGCGATGAGCCTCGAGTCGTGTGAAATAGCTGTAGGTCCACGTGTGTTTTCTCCCCCCGGGACTCGAGAAGTCCAACAACCGGTGTCAATGTTTAAGGTTCGAATTTCTCCATCCGCTTCCTTAACGATCAGGAGATTGGTGTCTGACACGAAGGCGAGCTGGCTGATCACGGGCCCATTTGTTTCGAACGTCTGAAGGCAATTATCTGTCAAGGCTTCCCAAAGATGGACACTTCCACGTATAGATGAGGTCGCTACAATCTCAGAATTCGGAGAGAAACTGACAAATGAGCCTCCTCGTGATACAGAGCGTGAGTTATCACGCCTCTGGGCTCTGTCTATAGGCCGGAGCTTGATCCTACGCCCTGTGGACATTGTCCATATCGCAGCGGTAAAATTGTCGTAAGACGCCGCAATCTTCTCTGAAGTGTGGGAAACGTCAAGTTGTACTACGTCGACCCCATCGGGAATACGGAATGAGCATAGTTCCTCGCCCGTTTCAGCGACGTAGACGTGGATTAAGTTTTGTAATGCCGATGCAATTCGCTTCGAGTCCTTGAAAAAGGTGACTGGAACGTATGGACCGATAGAGTGAAGGCTTGGCATGCGAAAGTTGGTCATCAAGACACCCAGGGACAGCGACCAAACCGATATGTCCCCGCCAAGCCCACTTAATGCAACAAGCCTAGAATCAGGAGAAACAACAACGGCATAATAACCTTCATAGGCATCCCCAAGACCTGTGTTCTGGATCAGAGGCGTCCATCCAGACTTTTGTGGTCGTTGGAAAGTGATACACTTCGGGATGCTTCTTATGGAAGCGTGTCGGATAGAGCTTGTCGTGGGAGAAAAGACTAATGCTGACCAATACAGTTGCAAAGGATACTCGAGAATAACGGAGATGTATTTGGAAATCAACATCTCCGAGTCTTCCAAAAGATTGTGAAGCTTGATTTTTGGTTGCTGCCATATTAGTTAGCAAAGTAGGCAATATATGAATGTTGATTGATTCTTTGTGACTTGTTGCTACGTCTATACATTCACCTTGTATTGATCTCATGATGGAGAAAACCTCGAAGCTCACCTTCACGAGGGGAATTAGCGTGTCTATCATTTGAATAGCACGATTGGTTTCTCCGAGAACACAGAGAGCCTCGACCCAATAGAGAAATCGATCTTGGAGGAATTTATGGACTTGATCCCCATCCTCGAGAAGTTGACCCGCGTATTTCAGGTGATGAAACCAGAAGCGGCAAGCATATCGTGTATGTGGCGGGAGCTGTTGTTCCAGGACGTCTCTCGCAATCGCAGACCGTCGATCGGCGGGCTTGAGGCTGCAAATATTGTAACGCAAAGACCTTGAAAGAATTTCAAGACAGGCAAGCGCCATTCTCCAATGTGTTTCCTTGAAATTGAAGGAGAAGTCTCCGGCAACTGGACTCAGTAAAAAGTCGCGAAATGACGAATGAAAAAGTTTGACCTCCAGGCCTTCCTCACTCGGAAGATCAAGAACAGACCTGAGAGGAACCAAGATACCACCAACTTGCGAAGGCTTGAGACCCAGCAAGCTGGCGATTGAGTTGACCGACAAAGGCTGCTCGAGGAGTATGATTGCGCCGATGACCTCTTTAAATCTTCCAAGCAGGATCATTCGCTCTGACGGAGTTCTTTCGCTTCTGAACTGTCCCAATACTGGCTGATAGGTCTCTTGAAGTTTGTCGCTGACGCCTCCTTTCTGAACGGTCTGAACAAGCTTCAAAAGCTGTTCCTCTGGACTGCCGAATAGCTCGTCTCGGATGAAGCGGCAAGCTATTGCCGCGAACAGAAACAAGGGTATGGCGATGTCGACAAGGGCCTTGATCTTCTCCTGCCCAGGCCAATCCAGCTGTAGTTTCTGATTATTGATACATCTCGCGTTCCACAAATTTCTGATCTCTGTCAACTGATGTCGAAGGTACAATGAGATATCTTTGGAGACAATCTCATTTGGTGTGTCATGTAGTCGAACTTCCCGGTACAATCCTTGATTGGGAGAACCACATGCATCGCGCACTGCAACCTCTGGCCTACTTGTAATAAGCAGCTTCAGACCGCAGCCATCGAAACATACAGCCTTGATCAGTAAACGCAATAAAATTTCAACGTCCTTCTCGTTCGAACACTCATCCAATGCGTCGAGTACCAGGATCAACTTTTTGGGCTCCCCTGGTTTTGAGGCTGCCAGTTTGAGTGGGTTGAAGACGAGCTTAGTGAATTGCTCCTCCATACTCTTGGAACAGATATTATCCGTCTCCTTGATCGCTTTTACTATGTACGGGCTTAACTCGGGTCGGCGCTGCGCTAGCTGACGGGCTAGCGTACCGAAAAACAACGACGCGCTGCCACGATCAACTTCTCCCCTTTTGAAAAAGAACGTGGCGCCGAGTATGTTGGTCTCGTAAAACTCATGAGCAATGGTCCGAGCTATGATCGACTTTCCCGTTCCAGCCAATCCACTGAGCCAATAAAGTCTCGGGCCAGTAGCATGAGGAGCCCAGGTTTCAATGTCGCGAAGAATATCAACTCTGGTACTTGGATGGCATCTCGGTTCGTGTTGATTTTCATAGCTGTCGAATTCAGCACCCTGAGCCATTGGCAATTTGTCCAGAATGTCATGATCGATTGTATCTTTTATGGTGATGACATCTTCCTTGACTGAATTGACTGACGTGCGTTGGTCAGAAATCGGGAAATTACAAGCAACGACTTGCGATGAGATTCTCTGTGAGCTACTCACTAGAAGACAATACTTTTGCTACAGACTGTTCATGCTCGAGGCTCTGACGCGGAATACAACAGACCAATGATTTGGCGAAAGAAGCGGCTGCCATGGCAGCGTAGCCCTGCCATTGCTTGTTTTTATGAGAGTCGGAGTAGTCACAGATTCCTCTTATGACTAGACAGGGAAAATGATTCATCAAACCAGCGGCTTCCATCTCGAAGCATAGCACGTTCTTCTCCTTTGCTAGTGCATCTCGCTTCTGAGCATCTTTCATTACCTGATTTGCAGAAGCTATCAGTCCGTAATGGACGACGGGCTCTGAACCGGGGTCTCGTTCCGGGCGATCCACGAAGTCGTCGGCGCAATAATCAGCCATTGACCTGTTTGCGTCATAGACAATGTCGCTGCGGAAAAGTTTGTCGGAATTGGAACTGGGCCGACCGTATTTCTTCTTCAAGATGTCATTCTTCAGGCGCTTCAAAATGTGCTCTTCAAGCGAGCTGCCTTCTATTTCGAGGTCGGAAATCAGCATGTTGAGGGCTGTTCTTAGAGCAATGGGCGGTTGATTCAAGAACCCAGTCATCTCGAATTTCCCGCCCTCGATGGATTTGCCAAAGTCATACTGAAGCACGCCGCCATGACCCTCAGCCGGTGAGCTAACAACGATGTCGCCCAAACGGACGTCATTTCTGGGACTCGGAGCGCCGCCGCCGATGCCGACCATAAGCCCTACCCTTATGTTCACAAATGTGCGGACCATGTCTCGAGCGACCACTGCCGCCGAGCTTTCTCCATATTCGCCATGAGGAAGGACCGCAATCGCGACGTTGTGCTTGCCCATGCGCCCGAGCTTATACGAGTTGTTGTCGTTTCTGGACAGCGATCGAGGCTCTTCGTGGACCTCGTCGAGGAAGAGCCGGGCTGCGACGAACTCAGGGACAATGGCGCAGATCCAGCCGATCGTATAGATTGATGGATCGGACATAGCGACTGATGACAGGGGTCAAGAGTACATGCGTGTGATGCGACCATCTGGTCAAATGATGGCGCGCGAACGTGTTTGATGAAAGATTGAATGTTGCGATATGCGATGAAGATGCCTGCCAACGGCCTTTGTTACCCTCGGAAGAATGAACATGAGAAATTCAGAGTGAGGGGACTCAGCCTAGATGTGCGCGGGGAAGATGCTGACTGCATATACTGCTGTCAGCCCTAGGTTTAGAGCCAACATATGATGTGGCACGGCACCTAGGCTGCAGCAGATGCAGCTTATCAAACATGATAGCTTGGCGCATGTTGGGTTGCGGCAGTTGACTTCAAGCTGCGTAGAATGTCTATCCGCTTGGCTTATCATCTTCTATCCAGTGCACCCTCTTAAAGGTGGCGGCACGAGCTTTGCCTGAACTTGAGGCTCAAGATTTTGGGAAATGGTACAGTAGGAGGGTAGCCTAGGTTAAATGGTCTAGCCCAGGGCCATACCTCACCGAGATACCAGACCCGAGGGACCGACCCTATGTGCATCGCCTACCTTATCGTGCATATTGCCAAAACAGCTGGGACGCCATTACACAATTTTCTAGGCGAAGAACCACTGTTAACAAGGCAAGGCGATGAACAATCACCATATATTGCCTGTGAGGTTGGAGACGCGAGTCAGTTGTTGAAAGACACAACGGCCGAGTTCCCTTTCGAGAGCCTCGGTCTGCGAGAGACGCGTACGCCGCCAGTAACGTAACGAGCTCGCAGTGAATGTGGATCGAGACCCGCTTAGCGCAATGGCATCATCGAATGAGAAATCTCACCTTCCCGAATCGAGTTCGCGATAAGACGACAAAATCTCTTCGATTCCCTTCCCCCCAGCCCGCCGATTGTCCATCCGAACCCCTTTCGCGACTTTTTGAGCGAGCCGTGACCCTTTGAGCATGATCTAGGCTTCAGCGCTGCATTCAACGGTTGTTCAGCATTCCAATGAGGTGAAGATTTGGTTATCAATCGCGTTGCTCGTTTCCTCAGCATCGAAACCTTTTGTCTCGCGTGTGTTACCTTACAGGTTCAGACGATTACCTAAGGTAATCTCATCGAGTCTCGCGAGAAAGAAAAACGAGGAGGGCAAACGGGGCGCTTTATCAATCGCGGTTCTTTCTTATCGCTCGGGGTCAGCTTTATTTCTCTCACCTTTCTTCCCACCCCGACGCTCGGTGAAGGAAGCACAAAGGGGAAACATGACAAAAGCGATGAGTACCGACACCATCCCGTTCCCCGGCGCCAAGTCGCCTGGCATCACCGATGTCACCCGCCACGCCTGGATCACGTCCGACGACGTCGAGGCCGCCGAGGCCTCTCGGCGCGGCCCGTTTGAGCCTCACGACGACCACAACGGCGATTTTGTCACCACCACCGAGGACCGCGACCTCAAGCGCGGCTTGGAGCAGCGCCACTTGTCAATGTTGGGTATCGCGGGCGCCATCGGCACCGGTCTCTTCCTGGGTCTCGGTGGCGCTATCCAGACCGGCGGTCCGCTTGGCGCATTGCTTGGCTATGCGACTGTCGGCTTGATCGTCTGCGCCGTGCAGTTCGCTCTCGGAGAAGTTTCGGCGCTCCTCCCCGTCACCGGTTCATTTGTCCGTCATGCCGAGTTTCTTGTCGATCCGGCCTGGGGATTCGCTATCGGGTGGAACTTGGTCTACGGCAACATTTTGTCTATCCCCTCCGAGATCACAGCCATCTGTGTACTCTTTGAGTTCTGGACCGACCTGAACCCCTCCGTCTTCATTGTCATCTTCATCATCTTGACGTTCATCGTCGGCATCGCCTTTGTGCGTGTCTTCGGAGAGGTCGAGTTCGTCTTCGCTATGCTCAAGATCCTCCTCGTCATCTTCCTCATCATCCTCGGTCTCGTCATCGACCTCGGCGGCGTTCCGGGAACCCCCCGCATCGGGTTCAGGTACTGGCAAAGCCCCGGCCCCTTCGTGGAGCACATCGCGACCGGCGACTGGGGCAAGTTCTTGGGCTACTGGGGTGTCATGACCAGCGCCGTCTTCTCCTTCGCCGGCGTTGAGTCCCTCGCCATGGCCGCTGCTGAGACCCAGAACCCTCGCCGTGCCATTCCCCGCGCCTGCAAGCGTGTCTTCGCGCGTATCGTGCTCTTCTACATGCTCGCCGTTCTGGTCGTCGGTATGCTCGTTGCCAGTGACGACCCCCGCCTCGACGACGCCTACGGCACCGCTGCTCAGAGTCCCTTCGTCATCGCTGCCTCCGCTGCTGGTATCCCTGCCATTCCCAGCGTCGTCAACGCCGTCGTCATCACCTCCGCCTGGTCTGCGTCTAACCAGAGTCTTCTCGCCGGCACCCGTGTCCTTTTCGGTCTCGCGCTCAAGGGACAGGCCCCGAAGATCTTCCTCCGCACGACTGCCTGGGGTACTCCCTATGTTTGCGTCTTGCTCTTCACTGCTTTCATGTTCCTTAGCTTCATGAGCTTGTCGAATGGTGCATTGACCGTCTTCTGGTGGCTGGTAGACCTGACTGCGGCCGGTGTTTTGGTGTCGTGGTCGGCTATCCTCCTGAACCATATCCGTCTCAAGACAGCGATGAAGAAGCAGGGCATTGAGTTCAGCAGGCTGCCTTGGAACAACTCGTGGACCCGTAAGTTGAACGGTCTCGGATTACCTGATAAGACTTGCTAACAAAAGCGTGAATTTAGTCTACAGCTCTTACGTCGCCCTGTTCATGTGCATCGTCATTCTCTTCACGAGCGGCTTTGAAGTTTTCACCAAGGGCAACTGGAGCGCTAGTGGTTTCGTCTCGTCTTACTTGTGAGTCCACTCCCCTTGCTTAACGAGCATACCATGGGCGAGTTTGCTAACCACCTTGCAGGGATATTCCTCTGGTCACTGGCGCTTTCTTGATCTGGAAGTTCGTCAAGAAGACCAAGGGCGTCGTTCTTGAAAACATCCCGCTTCACGATGCTTTCGAGCAGGCCGATGCCTATCCCGAGGAGCCTGAGAAGCAAGAGACTGGCCCTATACGGTTTGTCAGCTGGATCTGGAATTAATGGCATACGCTTTGATGGTTGCCCATACTTAATTAGCACCCAAAGACGTACCTGCCCCGTAATAGTGTACAAATACTTCAACATTCAAGTTGTATATATAATATGTAGAGGCCAGCATCAAAAGCCTGGTCTCCAACAAGACGGTTCAACACTGAGAATTGGTATTAGATTTTTCGAAGTGCAAACGGCGTGAGGTATTGTTAGTTTTGTGACCGTCTTAGTCCCTAGTGCGCCGCCGATTCCGCTGAACTACCCCAAGCACTTAGCTGGCAGAGGAATCCGGGGCCTGGCAATGGGGACTCTGCAACCGGCCCTTCTTCCCCAGGTATTCAGGGAATCCCCGCAACACTTTGACGTGTCTCGTGGTGATGTGCTTGAGGTGGGCCTCCAATTCTGGCCTGGTATGGTCGCAGCGCAGGGTATAAGGAGCAACTTCGGGTCTTTACACAGTACACAGGTGCAACACCGCAACGTGGACACCCGGAACTCTAAACGAAGCTCGATGCGATGTTGGTCCAAGCCAGCTATCCGTAACTGATTGCAGTCCCCGCATTGGCACAGTAACTTCTCAAAGAGCTGTTGTAACGTGATCTCTCGAAATTGAGTTGCATTGAACGGAAGCACTTCATCGGGATTTCCCAATGGACATGCCTTACGACTGCCACCTTTTCGCGGAGACGAAGAACCAAGTCTTCGATCCGCGTTACCTACCTTAGGTAAGCTGAAGCCTCTTGGTTGACCTCGGTCCACATATTGCTTTTGACAACTTGCGAGATCACCTTTATGCTCCTTGGTCCCGACAACTCGGTTCATTCATCAATCATCATCGCATTCCCACGTGCGGTGTGGAGTCTAAGCCGGTAGTTCGCGTCGGGTCGCTTCTCGGGTCGCATGTCGGAAGCCATGGCGCGCAAACTTGGAACTATCGTCAGCCCAAAGTGGTGGGGCTAGCATAAACCAGTTCCTGATCGAATGTCGGCAAGACCAGCTGACAGCTTCCCTGGAGCACTCTAGCAACAGTACCGTCAGATGAAAGACCACGGCAAAAGGCAGCGACTAGCGCTAACAGTTGCTACTTGGAACAAAGACTTTTCTGTGTTTTGTTAGCGCAAAGAATTAGGTTCCACTTGATCGGATAAGAAATCCGTTTATGACATCGTTCCACGGACGACTTCCGAGGAGTGCACCCATGAATTCTTCTGGCGCAGGGCGCACCAGCGCGAGTCAAACTAGCAAGCATTCCCCCATCTTTCCACGCACCCCCCAAAGCCCGGGCAGAGACGGCGCCGCGAATGAGCAACTCCTAAATCCTCCATGTTTTCTCCACCGGGTACCCCGTGGGGATGCGCCATCCGACGTGGTGGTAAAGGAGGGCAGGATAAATACTCTTTGACAGCCGGAAGTTTGTTGAATGTGACTCCAGTGTGCGCGCGTGTGTCATCGATCAGATAAACCGATCATCGCAGACTGCTCCGGCGCTCGAGCTCTATCGAATAATCCCCGTCAGCAGCAACGTTTCATCGCAATCATGGGTGGCTTCAAGGCTGTCGAGGATCGGCCCACGCCGAAGGAGGTGTACAACTGGAAACTTTACATCGAGGCAGGAATCATCGCCATGGGATCTTTCCTGTAGGTTTCGATAATGTCAATAGCTATGGCTACGACCAACAACTGATCTTTGGCAGTTTTGGCTACGATTCAGCGTTCATCGGAACCACGATTGCCCGCAGCAGTTTCAAGAGAGACTTTGGGATCAACTCTGGAAACTCGAATAACATCTCGAGCAATATCACATCAGCTTTTCAAGCCGGAGCCTTGGGCGGCGCAGTTCTTTGCTTCTTCAGTACGACATTCGGAAGAGGAGTTATTTGCAGCACACTGACTTGAGTCTAGTTACTGAACGCTTGGGTAGAAAGTGGACTCTCCAGGCTAATGTTGTTATCTTCCTCGTTGGCGCTATTTTGATGACTGCCGCCACAAACCAGTTGTCCTTCATCTGTAAGTCAACTCCTCGAGTATTCGGACTTGAAGAAACTTTGGCTAAGACTTATTACGCAGACGCGGGTCGCGCCCTTACTGGCATCGGCTGTGGTGGTATCACAGCTACGGTCCCGTCCTACATCGGAGAATTATCGATCCCCTCCATCCGCGGTATCCTCACCGGTCTCTTCGAAGTCGCATACCAGATTGGCAGTGTCATTGGTTTCTGGATCAACGTAAGTCGAAAAATTCTGACGACTACGCTACTTAGAAACCTTCAAGTACTTGTCCTAATCATTCGGGTAGTACGGCATTACGCAAACCATCGACCCGAGCCTGCCTGTTAGCTGGAGAATCCCAATGGCATTCCAACTCGTCCCCGCCGGCATCCTCTTCGTCGGAGTCTTCTTCATTCACGAGAGCCCCCTCTGGCTTCTGCGTAAGAACAAGACGGAACGCGCCCACAAGGTTCTCGAGGGTCTCAGGGGACTGCCGATCGACCACAAGTGTAAGCAATTTTCATCGTGAATACCTTGCCATGAACGAAGAGAACTAACGCGAGGATGCAAACAGACATGCAAGAAGAACTCGACCAATTCCAGAAGAAACTCGACGAAGAAAGAGCCGTTTCATTGCAGTACGGAACCGGACAATGGGCATACCTCCGCGGCGTCGCCAACATGCTGGCCCGCAAGGGCATGTGGAATCGCCTTGTCCTCGTCTTCTGTGCCTTCGCTCTTAACAACCTTTCCGGAGCTGCCGCTATTAACTATTACTCAGTAAGGATCATATCCCTCAACAATTAGGCTGTCAAGACATAACTTGCTAATTCTGTCGTTAGCCCACGCTTTTCACATCGATCGGCATCACTGATGTTTCTCTATACACCGGTATCTACGGACTGATCAAGGGTGAGCTATGGTTAGCATGATGGCTGGGGACTCTTCGCTAACTCGGACTACAGCCATTGCATCTATTATTTACTTTATCTTCCTCATCGACCTCCTCGGAAGACGTTGGCCTGCCATCGTCTCCTCATTCATCTGCTCGATGTGCCTCTTCATTGTTGGTGCATACGTGAAGATTGGTCACCCTGCCGACATTATCGCCGCCGGAAAGGAGCTATCTGCCTCTACCGCGGCTGGTGGTAAGGCAGCTACTGGCATGATCATGATCTACTCTATCTGGTAAGTTCATGAGTTACTTATCACAAATTGTTTGAAGATTGTAATCTCTAACCATAACAATAGCTGGTCTTTCGGCTTGAACGGTATTCCTTGGATTGTCAGTGCCGAAATCTTCCCCGGTGCCCTTCGCAACTTCACCGGCACCTATGCTGCTCTCGTTGTCTGGTAAGTCGACAACTATGCCCCTTTGAAAGCTCACCGCGTAAGGCATCTAACACATGTTCAGGGCTACTCAATTCGCCATCACCAAGGCCATGCCCTACATTTTCAGCTCTTTCGGCTACGGAACTTGGTTCTTCTTCGCTTCGTGGATGATCATCGCCACCTTGTGGGGCTACTTCTTCTTGCCAGAGACCAAGGGTCTTACCATGGACCAAATGGATGTCATCTTGTACGTCACTCTCGCAAGGATAAAACCCTGTAGTGAATCGATACTAACGTTTCTGTTAATAGCGGCTATGCTCATGATGCTCGCCCTGAACCTTCAACTAAGTTTGTCGACGCCACATTCGATGACAACAAGGCGAAGTCGAGCGAACACACGGAGGCTGTTTAGGGGGGAGAAGTATCGTAGTTGCGGAGATCGCACGTATTAGCGAGTTCAATTTGACGAGATAAGCAAGTAATGTTTATAGCTAAAGAGGACAATTTGAGAATTCTCTAAAAGTGTATTGCGATTGCAAAGTCTGGAACTACCACAAGCTGAACCATTCTCGATCGCCGTCCCCTGCTGCAGCTGCCCTGTCTGGGCCTTGTTGTGCGTTGCTGACAAAGGCCTCTCCGATTAATCGAAAGGTGTTGTCTAGATCGAACAAGTTGCTGTTGCTAGCCTCGCTTGGGCCCTTTTCATCTTCTTCTCCTTCACTACGTGCCTGTTCTGCTTTGTGAACTTCTTTTTGTTTTTCGGCACCATCCTTGTCAATCTTTTCTTTCCTAGCATTCTCTTTTTCGGCCCTTTGCCTCGCCAACTCTTGCTTCCGCAATTCTTCAAGTTTCAATTCCTCTTTCACGCGCGTTGATATAGGAGCCGGCCGTAGAGTCAGAAAGACTGCGTGTTCTTTCACCCAGATGATTAAGTCGCCAACTTCAACCCCTGCTGGTGCTAAGCCCATTTGCCCTGTTCCGAGCACGATGAACTTTCTCCCGAGGGTGTAGTCCACATATTGATCGTATGCCGCCAGGACACTCGTGCCGCGCTTGTCAAACATTCGCAAGGGACCTCCTGGCGGAAGTGTAAAGGTTTTCTCTTGCCAACGATAGTGCTCGAAACTAGGCAAGACATCCGTTTTCATAAGATGTGCAAACTTGCTGTTGGAGGAGGATTGCACCTTTCGTTTTATAAGATAAACCCTTGCCATGGCCTCCAAGGATTTTAATGACGGATCGCTAGGGGTAGGGATGTGTGGACGCGGGCTATTATCCAAGTTGCTTTCTCGAAGCTTCTGGAGAAGCTTTTGGTCATTCTCCATGCGTTCTGCTAGCAAGTCTGCAGCCTGCTTGAAAGTATTGTCCTGAACCTCGTCATTAGATCTTGCCAGAACCGCATTGAGAAAGAGATGTTTGCGACTGTCGTCCGACTGATTTGGCGGAAGATTGATCCCCTTCGCGGCGCTCAATGCTGCTTCAAAGCTCGAAACTTGGAGCTCTAAATCCGTTCTCGCATCCTTGAGAATGTTTCCTCTAGACTTCCCGAGATTGTCGTGCATCTTGGTTGCCAAAGCGACCTTGCCGATCACAGCTCCCTTGACGTGAAGTAAGTTGAACCCGCCATCAGAAACTAAAGAGTGATGTTTGTCGTCGCCTTTGAAAGCATCAGTCGAAGTCGGCTTTTGTCGCTTCGTCGGCGGTCTGACATCATGGGGTAGAATGTACACGTTGACCTCGGCTGACCAATCTGGAACCCATGATGGCAGGTTTTCAAATGAAGGACCCCTAGAGTTACCGATTCCTGCGTATCGCAGAAAGGCGAAGGCATCTCCGGTTCTGACAAGTTCTCGGGCAACCATGGTGTATACAACTTCAGGCGTACTCTTGTCAGTATAGTCCGGCTTGATGTGCTGTGGACTGTCTTTGGACTGTTTTGTTCGATCTAGAATGCTGTGCATACCATCCACCATTTCGCTGAAAGACCGTGTCGCCTTTGGTATGGACCTCAGTAATCTGATTGTCTTTCGGCTCTGAAGGGGATCAGTTTTTCTCAGCCCGTCGGCAAACTCAACAATGGAATCCAAAGTGTCGAACATATCCTTGGCGGCTCCTCCCCGAGAAAAGATCTCGTCTGTGAAGACTTCGCTATGACGAAAGTTTGGATGAAACAACGGCGCGTTGCGTTCTTTTATGATTCCTAGCAAGGCGAACACATTGTCGACCGAAAGTGTTGATTTGAACCTAGACCCAAGTTTCAAAGCATCTTTCAGGGCAAGACGGTCAATCTCGTCAACCTGAAACCGCATATTCTCCATGATCAGCGCATTCATAAGATGTTCGTTGGTCAAGATAGACCGGTGATCATCGTTTCCTGTTCCCTGGGCCAAAATCCGGCCCAGACCTTCTGCGAAATCTTCCCAGTGTATCAGCGTATTTCCACTCTGAAGTATGGTCTCTTTAGAAGCAGCAATTTCTTGAATGATCCAAACTCTTTCAAACCAGCTATTGGCTAAGAGAGAAAGGAGTTCTTGCCATCCGGACAAAGGTGACGACTTCAAATTAAGGAGCTCTGTCTGATCCATCTGTGCCGTCGTCACAATTTGCCGGACAAGCTCGAATGCCTTCGTTGCTACTGGAGTTTTGCCCAGCCAGCCGATAGTCGATGTGGCCTCCTCGAAAATTTCTCGCATCAGCCCGACTTGTCGACTCTTTTCTTGCGCGTTGGCCTGGTCAATGCAAATAGAGTCAATCCATAGAAGCTGAGAAAGGCGCAGCCTCCGCAACTGGACAAGGAGATCGTAAATGCTTGTAGAAACTAGAAATGGCGCTCCATCTACGAGAATGATTTGTGGTTCATCTCTTGTAGCTGCCCAACGGTGAGACACTGCTCGATACGAGGGAGGTGAATCTAAGGTTGCGTGGATGATATCGCATTGCACTGGTGAGTTCCGGAAGCAGGGTTGAGCCCGAAGCCGAAGAATGCGGAATTCGTTTGGTCGTCGCAATGGCTTATGCTTGAACTTCGTCATTCGCATCGCCATTCCATACCTCACTAGATATACGCCCATTCCGATAAAAAAAGCAACCTTTAGCGAAGTGCTGACAGGGAGCACAAAAGGCTCTGTCCTAGCTGAGGTCGGATCCATTTCGAGGGCTTTGATAAAAAAGCTCGTAAGCGCGAACCAGAGACACCCCCGGCGCTCCATTCGAAGAATCGGTGAAGCCTCTCCGCCATGATGTCGTAGCCAAAACTCCTGATGAGGGTACTGGTTGACGAAGAGGTGCATTGTATAAGCTGCCTGGAAGGGAACCCCCTTTGAAAGCCAGAAGATCGAGCACAGCAACCACTCGACGGCCACCACAGGCTGCAAATATAGGTCCGGCCCAGTAAACCATAACCAGAAGGAGTAATGAAGAACTTCGGGAAGAGTAGTAACACACGCCCATACGACTACAGCCATGATTATTCCCTGCCTTCCCTCCGGAACGAATCCATTAATTGTACCCCTTGGGACACTGAGCAGTAAACCGGGCAAGATTGGTGCCACAGCAGTAGGCCAGAAATCGGAAGATCCCAAGACTGTCTCCAAAGCAACCGATATATCGCGGAAGTCGAATAGTTTTCGGAACACAACACGTGCACCCGAGTAGATCACGGGCTTCAAGAAGAAACCGAGATCCTTCGGCAAGCTGGCGTACTTGCAACGAATCTGGCTGTCGGCGAAGAGGGCTAATGTGTATGGGTGAAAGTTGATGTTCGGAAAGTACCAAGCTAGAAAGGCACTTAGATAAGTCCAAGGATAAATCTGATTGCTTAGAGTTTGTCGATACTGAATCAAGAGTGTCTGATATATCCATCTTTGTTGCGATGGCAAGCCTTCGTCGACAACCAAAGTGAAGAACGCAATCTTGATCATTTCGGCCGCGTCGTAGAAATTCTGCTGCAGCTTTCCGAGGAACTTTTTGTCGTAGTTATCTGGGTCAAAGTCCCAATCGGGATCAACATCCTGGTCGTCCTTTTCCTCATCTTCAATGCCAGCTCTCAACTTTCTGAAGTGCTTCACAAATAGTTTCAGCTTCTCCATCGCCTGTATTTTCGGCGATTATTTATAGAACCGAAATTGAGAAATTTTGAATATCAATGAAGGGTAATAGTTGATCTTGAAATCTAATGAAACTGATTTTGTCATATGAAGGTCGAGTTCGGGGAGTCGATCATTTAGTGAAAGATAATGTTTACCTGAGGCATAATCGTCGTCCTCAATTAGCCGTCTATGACGATCCATAAAGTCTTCGAGAAATGAGTCGACGAGCATTTCTAGTCGATAGGTAGCTTCACTTGCATGTTTATATGCTATCAGGTGATCATGGTGGTATTGTAGCTTGCCAACTCGATGGGAAAAAGATGGCTAGACTCGTGCGGCTGATCTGCACAAGCTGAAAAGAGCACAGAAACCTGCAGATCTGGACCTAACGCTGTTGTGAACTATGCATACGGGCTGATTAGCACTTCTGCGCACTCCGAGAACTACGTTGATTGGATGTACAACCGCCAAGGCGCTCACCGCTGCAGTTCTTCCAGTTTGAAATGGAAATTCACCAAAACCCGAGACATTGCTCTTTTTTAGGCATCCAAACTGCTTGCCCGCTATTATCAAGCACATTCAGCGATTGGCTTCGCGTTATCATTCATCAGTCTAGAGAGGCTTTACACGCAAGGATGATTTGCCATCTCGAAAGATCATGCTCGACTACTTCAATGTTTATCACCTGCCCTGCACCCAAGCTATCGCTTGATCTTAATGTTTTCTCAGCATCCAACTCCAATGTGACCAGGGATCCCTCGCGAGATCTTCCATATCTTTGACGTGTCTATGATCTTCCCACAGAGAGAGGAGACCAGCATCGATCGCTAGGCTAGCATACTTTGTCGCAAGCCACGGCTCTCCAACACCGCTGTATTCAATCGCAGCAAGCATGTAGGCCTCACTAAGGAAACTCCAGTTGTGCTCTTGGTGATAAAGAGATATAAGAAGCTCGGCCATTTGTGGTGTAGCATTTGACTGAGGCGAGTGGTCCTTCAGCTCCTCAAGCAGGGAGTAGATTTGTGCTATTCGTTTGTCTGAGGCTTCAGTCACGAGATCAGGTTGTTTGCAAAAATGACAGCTGCAATTGAAGCCCCAGTTGGAGTGCAGACGATTCTGCCTCTCATCACGAGATTGCAAAGGCTCGACATAACTGATTGTGAGCTCTTCGCCGGGGACGATGTCGCGAAGGGCGGTTGTTCGCTGTGTGAGAGTCCGAGGATCAAACCAGTAGTCGATGTTGGGGCGGCAATCGTGATTCAGGCGAGAAGCTAGACGTGTTATTAGTATTTGATGGCAGCAAAAAAAACATGAAGGATGAAAG